GTTAAGTAAATTCCCAACAAATATGTCCCTTCAATAGGGGCACAAAATTAAGATATTATATTAATTAAATATGGACCTATGTATTATTTTCAGCTGTTATAATATACAGGACAAAATAATTTAATATAGTTTTTTCATGTCATTGTTTTGATTGCATTCCCATGTGACAAGTTGACTTGATTATAATTTGTATTCAACAAATCACTTAGTTCAAAAGTCTTTTCATCAAAACGTAATTGGAGTCTTGCACTCTCCAGGCTATTTTGCACGTAAATTTAAAATTTTTTTCTTACTTTTAACAATACATTCTCCAAAAATCAATGTTCAAAACATCATTTTTTTTTCCCCCATTTCTCTTTATAATAGCCATCAAACATGAGTTAAGATTGGGCTTGTTTTATGCAAATGGAAAATGTTTCTTTTTAATGATATATGTTTGATTTACTTGAATTGATAGAGTTCCTAAAACTTTGTATAGTTTTTTGAAGCAAGCAAGAAGACACTAATTTGATAGTTAATTTAAATTTGAAATTTACATGAATTAATATGTATTCATAATATGTAATTTAAAATTCTCATTAAAAAAGAAAAATCGAACTAGACTATTTCAATTCTCTCTAGGTTTTGCAATTTAAAAACGGGTTGTTTGAATACTTTTGAGTTCCATACAATTATTTTCCCTAGCAATAAAAAACCTTACATATATATAAAAAAATAAACGTGTTCATATTCTTGAGTTGACTAGGCAATGCAATAAAGAATTAGGTCCTTTTCTAGTTTGGGTATGACTTCAGTTCAATTATTACATTTTAGGAATTAAACTAGACCGCTCAATTTTATTCGTGTGTAATATTCTCAATAATTACTCAGACTTGGTTTTCAATGATTTTCATGACATTGAGCTTTTGTCTCTAATAAGTTCATAATATAATTGATTTAAGATTTTGAAGTAATTAACTAAAATTTGTATAGAAATATTTAACAAATCCATTTAGGTCAACATTCCCACCCACCAACTTTAAACTAAGGCACTCCAAATTTGAATCTTAATTTACTTAACCATGGTTACCACACCATGGTTTGTTCAATTCTTAGCGGTAATCGATAAATATAAGATTTTGAGATCGAATTTCAGTAATATTATAGACTTTTAGCCTAATAGTATATTAGATCTTGGTTTTATTTATACGAATATGACTTTTTCTCAATTTTTTTTTGAAAACTAATCATCTTGTTGAAATATATTGAATCGTAACAACATTCAAATGAAGTTTCACTTAAAATCGTCTTCCTAAAGTATAAATTGTATGTTCATTGTTATTCCATTTGATTTAAATATATATAAATATGATCAATTTGCTAAAAAGTAAACATCTACTCAAGTAAAAAAATTGACATTGGGAATATGATCAACTTTAAATAGTATTTTTGATCTATAAGAATAAATTATATTCCATCCCTCCTCGAAGCTCTCCAGCTTCATAATTACTAAAAGGAAAAAATTGCAACTGTGGTCACCAATATATAGCTTATTTGCGGCTTCAATCTTTTTTGGCTTTTGAGTCCTCTACTTTCAAATTTCGTAACAAAATAATCCTTTAAGGGGTTCATATAATAAAAAACGTGCTAGTTTAGTGAAAAAATAATTTTGTCCACACAATCAAACACTCGATTAAACAACTCTTTCTGAAAACAAGTCCTTTATTTCATTTTTCTATCAAAATTGAAGCTTGAGAACCAAAAACGTCAAAAAGTTATAATGGTCTAATTACAGAAGGTGACATACATAAAGATCGTAAGTGCAATTTTTCCTTAAAAGAGATGGGAATTCGAATCAAAAAGTGCAACTTCATTGAAGCTTCCGGGCATAATAGGTACATTGTAAAGGATGAAAAACAACTAGCATTCATTAATTAGAATATTTTGGCAGAATAAAATACAAAGATTTCTCTTTAGGAGGGAACAAGGTCAATATATTATACTGTTATTATAATTAATTAAAAAATGGACCTTTATTATGTATTATGTCAATCAAACTGCTATATTATACAGTAAAATTATTGTCTAAACAATGTTAGGAGAATTTCATACCTTTTATTATTTTTTTTTTAAAAATTGACTTTTATACTATGTAATACCATTTTTTGGTTGCGTTTATGAGTTACAAGTTGGATATCATATATGTATAAATAAAATGTGATAGACGAAACATCTTTGATTTTGGCGTTCATGGAGGTCCTCGACCACAACAAGGGTAGAGTAAAGTGGTGCGAAAAGGAATAAGAGGTGTTGGAGGCGCTTGCTCAAGTGAGATATATATGTGAAAGAGAGACAAATATCATTCTTCAAATTTAAATCTGAACGGTATTCATGCGTAAAACAATATTTGTGATCACCTTTTTTTTTCGTTCCACCTTTTCACATTATGTTCCATGTTTGGTGGGGATTAAAGTCAAATTTTTAGCCAATTTCGATATAAAAAAAATGATAAAATGTGTAGTTAAAAAGTAAAATTAATTGTTAATTTTGATTTTGATAAAAATTTTGATTTTGATTTTTCTAAACTATATAACTAAACTTCCTTACACCGCGATGTTCCAATATGTGGATTGTAACAAAAATATACTGCGATGGGGAACTAGTTTCTCATCATCTTTGTACTTTTCTCTGTTTCCAAATTTTGGATAATTTTATTTATTGATTTGTACCCAAAAAATAAAAAATAAAAAAAATTGAGTTTATCCACTTGTGACACGCCCTTCATGTTAGGTTTCCTCCAGCTGGATTTTCCTTGTCCTTGCTCTATTTTGATTAGTGAAAGTGTTGACGTACAAAAATATGAGGCTCAATTGAATGAGGCCAATGGTTAAATGATGTCCAATTATTAAGTCAGTTTGAATTATGTGATTCAAGAAATGGAGCTCAATTAGAGAAATTGAGAAATAGACCTAAATAAGATCATTGTAAAATGTAAGGACAGCCCACGAACAGACGACTATCATCGGCCGTGCGAAACAAAAAGATTAATATTATTCAACATCAGTAATGACAAGTACTAATTTAGGTGACAATTACATGACATTGAATCCTAGTTTGGTCCTAATTATTTTCAAAATACATTTTTTTCTCTTTTATTTTCAACTACATGTCTTCAATAAAATAATTTTACACACAAATCTCATATTTTTCCTATTTTTTAACCACACATTATTCATCAAATTACTATTCTAAAATGTTATTTTTACCAAAATAAAAAATAAAAAATTGAGCTCAAACGGAATCTAAATAATATATTCATTCAAATGTAATGTAACATAAGTAAACATACCAAGCGTGGACATCGACACTATTACTCTAGCGTCATTGGTGCTAAACATTATTAATTTTAGTGAAAAGTGACATGATCATATTTGAATAATTTATTCCATAAGATTAATAAGTTATAAAAGATGATTTGTGTGGTGGCTAATGTTTTCACTTGAAAGCGACTGAACAAGTCTCGTAATTTTTTCAATTTTATTTTAGCTCCTATTTTGCAATAATATTACTAAGTTCTTTTTAAGAAAAGGAGTTTTGGAATAGCCATTTTTTAGATAATGTGTGATTAAAAAGTTAAAAAAAAAATTAAATTTACATATAAATTATTTTATTGTGTGAATGTGTAATTGAAAATGGAGGCAAGGAAAAAAACGTTTTGATTTAATGGATAATGTACCGAAATAAGTTTTTTTATTTTTAATTTTGATAAAAAAAATATATAATAAAATTAAATTAATATTCGGTATATTTTGATAAAAGTTAGGAAATTTTGATTTTAATCCCACTAAACAGGATCTAATTCTCAACTAATACGAAAACATGTTACCAGCACCTTCTATATATGCCTCAATTTCTTACCCATCTCTCCCCCTTCCATCTCCTATTTTATACAAATCCATTGCTGGTTCCTCCATTATCTCCCAATTTTGCTTAGACGCCTGTCAAATGGATCAAATTCTGCCCCAAAAATTTGTATTGGAAGCCCAAGAGGCCGAATCGATCAGCCAATACCTCAATCTCCCGTCGGTGCAACACCTCCTACCCCGCCTAGTTCAATCCGCGCAGTCGCTAGCCCGTCCGCCCATATCAAATTTTCATGTTGGAGCGGTGGGTTTGGGCTCCGATGGCCGTGTGTTCATAGGCGTCAATCTGGAGTTTCCGGGACTCCCACTTCACCACTCTGTACACGCCGAGCAGTTTCTCCTTACCAATCTTGCTCTCCATGGGTGTCCTCAGCTACTGTCTTTTGCAGTTTCTGATGCTCCCTGCGGTCACTGCCGCCAGTTCTTGCAGGAGCTCCGTAACTCCTCGTCCCTTGGAATCCTTGTCACGTCCCATGTTCAAGGAAATCTTGACAAGAGTCTTTCTTTCAAGCCCTTGTCTGAAATTCTAACGAATCCATTTGGCCCACACGATCTTTTAAGTGAAGAAATTCCGCTTCTTCTCGAGCCACATAATAACGGGTTATCTCTGTTACCGAAAAAGGCTTTATATGTGGAAGGAAATTCGACCAATCTTTGCAATGGTAATTGTGAATTGTCTGCGTGCAATGAAAATTCTGTAAAATTGAGCAGTGGGAATCGGGAAAAGAATGAAAAGGATGAGATCCTTTTGAGAAAGGCGGCATTGGAAGCTGCTAATAATTCACATGCACCATACAGTGGGTGCCCTTCTGGGGTGGCGTTGATGGATTCTGAAGGGAAGGTGTATAGAGGGTCGTATTTGGAGTCTGCGGCATACAATCCTAGTTTGGGGCCGATCCAGGCGGCATTGGTGGCCTTTTTGGCTGGAGGCGGTGTTGGGTATAAGGGTATTGTGGCCGCAGTTTTGGTGGAGAAGGAAGAGGCTAAGGTGAAGCAGGAAGATACTGCAAGGCTTATTTTGAAGGCGGTTTCGCCCAGATGTGAATTTACGGTGTTCTATTGTCGATCAGCAGAAAGTGGATGTAAAAAATAGTTGCTGATTAGTGTGAGTTCAACTGTATTAATCAATTATTTATAATTGTTTGCAATTGCAGATTCTACTAAATAAGTTATTACTACTTTGAGTTTCGTCAGAGTTCATTTCTTCTACAATAGATTATCTTATATTATAGTAGAGATGATCGGAACCACTTTTACATCCAAGTTTCAGTGAGTACGAATCTGTGAATGAATTTGTAAAAACGCTGTCTTTCTTTCCAAATAGCTTCTGATTTCATTATCGAAATTTCAGAAAGGCAAAGTTAGTATTGAAAAGCCTTTCTTTCAAAAGTGTTCTCAATTTTGTACTGTGAAATAGAGTTCATGAAGTGTGATTGGGATTATCCGTCTGCAGTTCTTGTAGATGGACGATCAAACTCCTGGGAAGCAAAGTCAGTACCCCATTAATCCATCAAAGTACTGAAGGTTTGAAGAACTGTAGTTTATAAAATCAAAGATATATAGAAACGGGAGAAGGGAAGGGCCCGGGGGGTGGGGGGGGGGGTGGTTAATGTGATCTTTGGTGACTAGTGAATGCTATTGATTCAAGGTTGGTCAATTCAACTTTTTAACTACACAGAGTTCCAAATATTGATTTTGGTGTGAATTTGTGAGATGCAAATGGTTCTTTTTTTAAAAGAAAGTTGACTAATAGTATGTAATGTTTTTGTCACAAAACAGGAAAAAAAAAGACGACTGATCTAACTTTACATTGATTTAGAGATGAGATCGCCATTGTAAGTGTAAATGAGATGGCCCGGCCCGGTCTGGACTCTGTACTATTCATTTACATCCCTAGAATGTAACAGTTTTTCGGGGGTAAAATGTGCCTAGGTAAAGGAAGTTATTGAGGCCTAAACTTCAATAACGCAAATTGAGAATAGAGATGAAGATTTGGGAGAAATTTAAAGCCATTTTTGTGTTCAGGAATACTGAAACTTAGCATTGACGATGGAAGGAGAGTCAAAGACGTGTTACTACTAGTGGCACACACTTATCAGTTGGCAGGTCAAGAATCCTTATCAATGTAAACAACCAACTAATCAATCCATAAAATGAATGAATGAACAACTAGCTGAGGTTCATCTCTTATTGTGAACTGTCTTTTCGTACATTTGGTCTTCATTTGCACTGTGCACTCATCTATTGATAGTACAGGAATATAAAAGTTATAAGTACCAGCTGTGGTCCTAATGAAGATCTTTGGATTTCTTGTAAGATCCACAGTCTGTTTCGCAAGATCTATTAGGAAGAGCTTTTGGATTTTTTTCCCTTTGGCCATACATTTAAAGAAATTTAAATAGGAGATTTAAGAAATTCTAGACTTTCTAATTCATATCCGTTGCAACTATTATATGGACGTTTTTTCTTTGGTTGTATGAAATGAAGTTTCCTATAGGGTTCTGATAGGGGGATTTCACCTATCTCAATAAAGTTGTGATTGGTTAGAAGCTCTGGAGATTTGAGTGATTGTGGATGATATAACTAACAAATATTTTATTTTATCAATTAGAGCAAAACAAAAGTAAGAATAAAAAATGAACTAAAATTTTGTCCATTGCCTGCTATATATGCTTTAGTCTCTCTCTGTATGGACTCTACAACCATTCTTAGATCTTTTGATAGTCTGAAAGTCTTCTTTACATCTTTCACCAGAAGTTATTTTGGATGATGGCTGTCTCGTGATTATATAATTGATAAATAACTTGTACTAAACAAAATGCTGTCCGGAGCAATTTGGAGATGCTAAGCCATGACACCTGCATGTTTGGATGCGTACAAAGCATACTTTTGCTTTCTGGAAAACACTTTGTTTTTCTGATTATTTGAAGCTGCTAAGCCTAATTTGGGCTTGTGTTCTTCGCTGATCTTCTTTAATTTCTTTATGTTAGTTGAGGTTCTTTTAAATGTCCCTGTCTCAGTTGTATTAAAGTTATAGCTTCTGGAACTCTTGAAGAGAGTTAAAGAAAATGCTAAATTATTTGCTAATCTACAATTTTCTTCTGCTTCTTGTGTAGTGGATGTTGAATCACCTTACGCTTTTGCTTTTACACCATTGGAAAGAAACATGTCAAAAAGAAGCATAATTATGTTGTAGACACACGCTTTTTATGTAATGCACACATAATTGGTTGGTGATGTAGCATTATGAGTTGGAATTCCAATCCTATACATTTGTCATGTTTTTGCAAGTCATTTTATGTGCTTTAATGCAGAATCATCCTTTAATCTGCTACTTTAACTAAGCACCTTTTGAGATATGTGAAGGAAGTCATCATGATGGGATGAAAAGTATCTTATTATCTTTCTTTTGTATTTTTCAATGTTTCCATATTTTGTGTACTACTGATTGTTGATTTGTACCAGAAAAAAGTGAGTTTGATCGCTTGTCAAGCACACAGGCTTCATGTGTATATTTTGTTAGGTTTCCTTGTCCATGTATGTTTCGATTTGTGAAAGCAGACATCACAAAAAATGATGAAATTATCAGCATGTCTGGTAGGAATTCTTGCCCAATTCTAATTGATATTTTGACCGTTTGTAGTGGTAAGTGGGACCCGCCTGTGAGAAGGTGGGTCAAATGTTGCGACTGACATGATCTCTAACGGTAGGAGAATTGATTTTTGTGGTCAGGAAAATTTTCACTAGACTCAATGACATTAGCCCTTGTTTTGGCTTTCCATTATTTTGAAAATGCATTTTTCTCTTTTATTTTTAACCACATATTTTTCAATAAAATAATTTTTTAACGACGCATTTTTCAAAAAAAATCAATATTCTAGAATACATTTTCTCCAAAATGTGTTTTTAATGAAGCCCGAGCAGTGGCTTAAGATAACATTGGTATGTAGTGGCTATTGCTTTCTCTTAATTGTTTTTGTCTATAGTTTATTGCAATGTATCTTCCAACATGTCCCTTTATGTGTGTGTATACACAGTTTTAAAAAAAAAATTTTCAGATATATAAAAGAAGTAAAAAAAGAAAGAAAATAAAATAAAATGAAAGTTATTTATTTTATAGTTGACTGCAGGTTTTCAACCTGCGACTGGCCAGCGGCATGCAACCTGCAGTTGACCATACTCAACGCAATTCTTTTTATTTTATTTTATTTTTTTTTATAGAAAAAGTAGAAAACATGTTTATATATAAAATGTAATCATAAATTTAATACAATACACAACAAAATATTTAAAAGTTTAAGGTTAGAAAATTAGGTCACCTCTCATTAGTTCTTGATTTATAGTCTCAAACTCGACTTTAAACAATGATTTTTAATGACAATTTGAATAGGTTTTGGAGGTCTTGTTTAACTTATATTACTTTTGTACTACACTTCGCACATCTTTTAAAGTTACTTTTCCTTCTTGAATATAATATGACTTCTCTAAACTACTCGATTCAAACTCAACTAAGAATACTTTAATCTCCTTATCGGCTTTAGTCACAAAATCAATGAAGTTGAAGGTTTACATGCTAATTTCATCTATTTTGAATACCACTTATTCGTTTGGCTCCTTTATGATTAATTTCTCGATATCTACATGTTCTTCTCCTTTAGTTATTGATTCATCGGGTTGATTGGCGAAGAAACCCTCCATAAACATATTGTTTGGCTTATCCGAAATTATTTAATTTTCCATCATTTTATATTTTTGCATGGTGACGACATCTCTCATAAGCATATCACTATCATCAACTTTTTTTCTTCATAAAGATCGTTGAAGATGACTTTCCTTACTTCCTCTAGAGTTGCCAATAATAAGCAATTTTTAGTATAATGCAATGCCTCACAATATTCACAAGTCATCTCCTAAAAACAATAGATTTGATATTTAATCAATTTGGCAAGCAATCATTATCAAGTACGATAAACTTATTGTTTTTTTTTTAAATTGTTGCATGATGAAGAAATCTCCCACAAAGCATATCATCTTCATCTAAGTTGGGATCAATCATTACATTTTTTTGCTACTCTCTTGCTTCTTTTTGTTTCTTGTCAATGAAACAAAGAAAAACAAGCAAATCAATTAAAAAGAGAAGGAAAAAAAAATATAACAAAAGCAAGAAATGATTTAAATCAATATTATACAAAAAATAGTATCCAACACCGGCGTCAAAAACTTATTGTCGATTTTATATCTTGCAAGTGCATGAACCGAACAAGTAATAAAGTAGATCTAAAAGTCCAGATTATCATTCCCACGAGAAATACTATCAACCGTTGGTTAACTTATTCTCAACTTTAATTTGATTGAAAATCAATCGAATTAGTTATTTTGTTTTTGTGATTTTTTACTTTATTTTAAATATACTAAAATAATAAAAGTTTTTTGTAATTATGGTTTAAGCGTTATAATTCACTAGTTTACCATAATTATCCCCTTAATTTCTATAACCAACTTTTATAACAATTGATTATGTGTACCTTGATGAATTCTTCTGACATATTCAATTTACCTCGCTGTGGAGTTGAAATTGATTCTATTTAACTAAATCAATTTCATATTTCTATGTGAATCCGGATACACATTTAGTTAAACGCCTTAAATTTTTAAGAACTCATTAGTGATCACACAAATTAGAAAATGCATCTCTACACTTTTATACTAATCATCGACTTTTACCATGTGATCTAAATAAATAATCTGTCGCTCACAAATTAATGAATTAATGGTCAATTAATTCAAGTATTAAGAATAGAAGTAAAAATAATTCACACAATCAATTGGAGATTTAAAACTTTTTACTTAAAAATAAGGTTCAAAACAAAAAGGTTGCAACCATTCATACTACCCAATTATTTAATTACACATCAATAGAGAAGGAAAATACAAGAAAAAAAAATCACTACGCCAAAAATGAGCTTTCGCAACATATAAAAGGCAACATTCGGTAGTTAAATGTTGCTAAAGGGGTCTACCGCAACATTTGAATAAGTGAATGTTGCAATGGCAAATAAAATTGAGTTTTAGCAACATTTTTTAAGCAAGTGT